GTAGTGTCATATTAGTAAAGGCTGAATTGCAAGCGTTTCGTCCCGTTATTGGAAGAATCGCTCATATGCGGTTCATAGTTAAAGACCTGAATATGCACACCTTATTGATTTATAACAATGTTGTAAATCTGTAATTTTTTTAAACAGCTGACGCTCAACTTTTAGGAACAAAAAATAAATAAACAAAAGCCAGTGTTTGATTTAATGATGTAGTTTACAGAATCAAATTTGTTATTTGAAGAAGCAGATGCTGGACAGTCATAATATGTATTTGCTAATAAATTTAGAGTGCTACGATAGACTAACATCAGAAGAACAGTGTCTTGGCTGATACAAATGAAATTTCACTGCGTCTTAACTGACGTTCCCAAATTCCGTAGTCTATTGAGGATCAAGCCAGCCACAGCGCAGCTGCTGCTTGCGAGTCCACTTTTACTGCTGTTACACCTTTGTGTTTCTGTATCAGCAAAACCCAGTACACTCCACTGGTCCCACGACTCCGCCGTCTTCACAACCAAAGACTCGGACCCTCCAGCTGCCTGCGCGGAGCCTGTTGCAGAAAGTCGACCAGCTGCTGGATGCTGTGAGCAGACTGCAGTTTTGGCTTAGTGCGGGCTGCAGTTCACGAGTCTATTCTTACTGTTGTTACGCCTCTATGTTTGCTCATCAGGAAACCCCAGTATACCCCGCTGATCGCCCGACTCCGCCGGCCCCACAATCCAAAACTGTGCCGCTCCAGCCGTCTGTGAGGAGCTTGTTGCGGAAAGCCGACCGGCTGCTGGATGCTGTAAGCAGACCGCCTTTCGGGTGCTCTGCGGGCCGCTGTTTGTGAGTTAGTTTTGACTGTTGCTATGCCCGTGTTCTCATATCAGGAAACCCCAGTACACCCCGCTGGTCCAACAATTCCGCCCGCCCCACTACCCAAGACTCTGCCGCTCCAGCAGCCCGTGCTAAGCTTCTTGCAGAAAGCTGACCAGCTGCTGGATGCTGTAAGCAAACGGCCTTTCGGGTGCCACTGTTTGTGTGGGCCACTATTTGTAAGTTAGTTCTTAAGTTCTTGCTGTCTTTACGCCTCTGTATTTGCACATCAGGAAACTCCAGTTCATCTAGCTGATCCCACGACTCCGCCGGCCCCACAACCTAAGACTCAGCTGCTTCAGCCGTCTGTGCGGAGCTTGTTGCAGAAACCCGACCGGCTGCTAGATTCTGTAAGCAAACCCCCTTTCGGATGCTCTGTGGGCCACTGTTTGTGAGTTCGTTCTTAAGTTCTTACTGTTTTTATGCCTCTGTATTTGCACATCAGGAAACCCCAGTTCACCCAGCTGGTCCAACGCCAACGCTGGCCCCAGAACCCAAGACTCTGCTGCTCCAGCCGCCCGTGCGGAGCTTCTTGCAGAAAGCTGACCGGCTGCTGGATGCTGTAAGCTAACCCCCTTTCGGGTGCTCTTCGGGCCACTGTTTTTGAGTTAGTTCTTAAGTTCTTACTGTTTTTATGCATCTGTATTTGCACATCAGGAAACCCCAGTTCACCCAGCTGGTCCAACGCCAACGCCGGCCCCAGAACCCAAGACTCTGCCGCTCCAGCCGCCCGTGCGGAGCTTCTTGCAGAAAGCTGACCAGCTGCTGGATGCTGTAAGCAAACGGCCTTTCGGGTGCCACTGTTTGTGTGGGCCACTGTTTGTAAGTTAGTTCTTAAGTTCTTGCTGTCTTTACGCCTCTGTATTTGCACAGCAGGGAGCCCCAGTTCATCTAGCTGGTCCCACGACTCCGCCGGCCCCACAACCTAAGACTCAGCCGCTCCAGCCGTCTGTGCGGAGCTTGTTGCAGAAACCCGACCGGCTGCTAGATGCTGTAAGCAAACCCCCTTTCGGGTGCTCTGTGGGCCACTGTTTGTGAGTTCGTTCTTAAGTTCTTACTGTTTTTATGCCTCTGTATTTGCACATCAGGAAACCCTAGTTCACCCAGCTGGTCCCACGACTCTGCCAGCCTCAGAACCCAAGACTCTGCCTCTCCAGCCGCCCGTGCGGAGCTTCTTGCAGAAAGCTGACCGTCTGCTGGATGCTGTAAGCTAACCCCCTTTCGGGTGCTCTGCGGGCCACTGTTTGTGAGTTAGTTCTTAAGTTCTTACTGTTTTTATGCATCTGTATTTGCGCATCAGGAAACCCTAGTTCACCCAGCTGGTCCCACGACTCTGCCAGCCTCAGAACCCAAGACTCTGCCTCTCCAGCCGCCCGTGCGGAGCTTCTTGCAGAAAGCTGACCGGCTGCTGGATGCTGTAAGCTAACCCCCTTTCGGGTGCTCTTCGGGCCACTGTTTGTGAGTTAGTTCTTAAGTTCTTACTGTTTTTATGCCTCTGTATTTGCACATCAGGAAACCCCAGTTCACCCAGCTGGTCCAACGCCAACGCTGGCCCCAGAACCCAAGACTCTGCCGCTCCAGCCGCCCGTGCGGAGCTTCTTGCAGAAAGCTGACCGGCTGCTGGATGCTGTAAGCTAACACCCTTTCGGGTGCTCTTCGGGCCACTGTTTGTGAGTTAGTTCTTAAGTTCTTACTGTTTTTATGCATCTGTATTTGCACATCAGGAAACCCCAGTTCACCCAGCTGGTCCAACGCCAACGCCGGCCCCAGAACCCAAGACTCTGCCGCTCCAGCCGCCCGTGCGGAGCTTCTTGCAGAAAGCTGACCAGCTGCTGGATGCTGTAAGCAAACGGCCTTTCGGGTGCCACTGTTTGTGTGGGCCACTGTTTGTAAGTTAGTTCTTAAGTTCTTGCTGTCTTTACGCCTCTGTATTTGCACATCAGGGAACCCCAGTTCATCTAGCTGGTCCCACGACTCCGCCGGCCCCACAACCTAAGACTCAGCCGCTCCAGCCGTCTGTGCGGAGCTTGTTGCAGAAACCCGACCGGCTGCTAGATGCTGTAAGCAAACCCCTTTTCGGGTGCTCTGTGGGCCACTGTTTGTGAGTTCGTTCTTAAGTTCTTACTGTTTTTATGCCTCTGTATTTGCACATCAGGAAACCCCAGTTCACCCAGCTGGTTCAACGCCAACGCCGGCCCCAGAACCCAAGACTCTGCTGCTCCAGCCGCCCGTGCGGAGCTTCTTGCAGAAAGCTGACCGGCTGCTCCAGCCGCCCGTGCGGAGCTTCTTGCAGAAACCTGACCGGCTGCTGGATGCTGTAAGCTAACCCCCTTTCGGGTGCTCTTCGGGCCACTGTTTGTGAGTTAGTTCTTAAGTTCTTACTGTTTTTATGCATCTGTATGTGCACATCAGGAAACCCCAGTTCACCCAGCTGGTCCAACGCCAACGCCGGCCCCAGAACCCAAGACTCTGCCGCTCCAGCCGCCCGTGCGGAGCTTCTTGCAGAAAGCTGACCAGCTGCTGGATGCTGTAAGCAAACGGCCTTTCGGGTGCCACTGTTTGTGTGGGCCACTGTTTGTAAGTTAGTTCTTAAGTTCTTGCTGTCTTTACGCCTCTGTATTTGCACATCAGGAAACCCCAGTTCATCTAGCTGGTCCCACGACTCCGCCGGCCCCACAACCTAAGACTCAGCCGCTCCAGCCGTCTGTGCGGAGCTTCTTGCAGAAACCCGACCGGCTGCTAGATGCTGTAAGCAAACCCCCTTTCGGGTGCTCTGTGGGCCACTGTTTGTGAGTTCGTTCTTAAGTTCTTACTGTTTTTATGCCTCTGTATTTGCACATCAGGAAACCCTAGTTCACCCAGCTGGTCCCACGACTCTGCCAGCCTCAGAACCCAAGACTGCCTCTCCAGCCGCCCGTGCGGAGCTTCTTGCAGAAAGCTGACCGTCTGCTGGATGCTGTAAGCTAACCCCCTTTCGGGTGCTCTGCGGGCCACTGTTTGTGAGTTAGTTCTTAAGTTCTTACTGTTTTTATGCATCTGTATTTGCACATCAGGAAACCCTAGTTCACCCAGCTGGTCCCACGACTCCGCCGGCCCTAGAACCCAAGACTCTGCCGCTCCAGCCGCCCGTGCGGAGCTTCTTGCAGAAAGCTGACCGGCTGCTGGATGCTGTAAGCTAACCCCCTTTCGGGTGCTCTGCGGGCCACTGTTTGTGAGTTAGTTCCTAAGTTCTTACTGTTTTTATGCATCTGTATTTGCACATCAGGAAACCCTAGTTCACCCAGCTGGTCCCACGACTCCGCCGGCCCTAGAACCCAAGACTCTGCCGCTCCAGCCGCCCGTGCGGAGCTTCTTGCAGAAAGCTGACCGGCTGCTGGATGCTGTAAGCTAACCCCCTTTCGGGTGCTCTGCGGGCCACTGTTTGTGAGTTAGTTCTTAAGTTCTTACTGTTTTTATGCATCTGTATTTGCACATCAGGAAACCCCAGTTCACCCAGCTGGTCCAACGCCAACGCCGGCCCCAGAACCCAAGACTCTGCCGCTCCAGCTGCCTGTGCTGAGCCCGTTGCAGAAAGCCGACAAGCTGCTGGATGCTGTAAGCAGACTGCATTTTTGGCTCAGTGCAGGCTGCTGTTCACAAGTCCATTCTTACTGTTCTTACGCATTTGTGTTTGCACATCAACAGAACCCAGGATACTCCGCTGGTCCCACGACTACGCCTGCTCCGCAGCCTGAGGCTCTGCCATTGACAACAACAATCAAAGTTACGGTGGTGCCTTTAGATTTGGTAAGTCCTCATCCATCCCTTTACGAAAGTGTAGTGCTGCACAGGTTTATGTAAATGAAACATCATCATTGCAGTACAGGGTTATATGAGAGATGTAGTAGTTCAGGCTGCCTAACGTCTCATTCATGTGGATTGTGGTTTAGGTTTTGCAGGCTGGACTTAATGATCAAGGCCCTCTGGAAGCGCGACACTGCCCTACAGTAAGTTATTGGCTTCTTTAAGCAGCGTAATCTTTGTAAGCTGACTAACTTCTTCGGTTTTACATTTCTCAGGTGACAACAAAAGACCAAGAAACCCAGTGGGAAGTTCTGGAACTAGAGGACCACAGCTACTCCTTCAAGGAGTCTCGAAAACCTGCCATCGCGCTGAAAATGTCGGCTTCAGATATAATGTTTTATACGGGTGTCTCGAAGACCGTGTTTCTAAGTCTCGCAGAGGCCGTCTGTAAAATGACCACCACCAACTCTCAGTTGTCCGCAGAAGACCAGCTTCTGATAACACTCATGAGATTGCGCCTAGGCCTCCTTTATGGGGACCTAGCTAGGAGGTTTGAGACCTCGGTCACTAGAATTTGTGACATTGTGAAAAAAATGCTTCGGATCCTAAAGAAGATCATGAGCTATGTTGTTTTCTGGCTGCCATGGTCACGCATAGAAAACAGTATGCCTGCCTCTTTTGTTGAAGGCGGTTACGGCAGGACTACCTGCATCTTTGATTGTACGGAAGTCATTCTGCAGAGGCCTAAGAAGCTCATGGCTCGAGCACAGACATTCAGCTCCTACAAGGCAAACAACACGGTCAAATATCTTACAGTTATCGCCCCCAATGGCTTCATTATGTATGTGTCAGATGTGTATGGTGGGAGGGCTTCCGATAAATACATTGTGCGGCACTGCGGGGTCGAGGACCACTTCCAGCGTGGCGATGAGATTATGGCTGATCGTGGGTTTACTTTGGATGCCCACCTGGAGCTTCAAGGGGTGAAGTTGAACATGCCGGCGTTCACAAAGGGTAAGACGATTGCATGGCATGAACCCTAATGCAGGCACTGTTTATTCATGTCCTGTCTGCAAATGCTTTGTGTTAGTTATACTCTTGGAGATAACTAGGGCTGGTTCTTGATTTAAAATTTTAGCCAGTCTCATTGCCTTGCAATAGTCAAATTTTTGGTTGCACTGATGTTCAGGCTCAATATATTGTGAAAAGAGCAAGGACGCCTGTTCTTCGTTGCTTCCTTTTGCTGTGTGATAAACAATGCAATGCACTTTTTTCAGCTGGGGATAAACTTGAACCTTCAATTGAGAATGCTCAAATGACAAAATATTACTCCCAACTGTGAAGGCAAAGAGGTTTCCTGATGTTATCTGGCATGAGCAGGGTCATTCACTTCACAATCATTCCTGCAGCGCTAAATAGATGCTTGCGAGACGTTGAACAAAGACGCACGGAACTTTCTTCATTACTGACTCGACTTCTAAAATGAGGAAGCCTAGCGAGTACTATGATATAATGTAACATAAGAAACGGGCCTTGGGAGAAAGGCACTGGCCTTATTTTATGTCATCTAAACAGGCAAATGTGCACAGATTGGATACAAGTGTTGCGGCAGCACTGAGACGAGACTTGTATCCTCACTGATTGAACATGATCCTCAGCCAAACACTGATGCAGCACTTGTGTCTCATTTGTGCCTCATGCTTGCCTCTTCAGGTGCTGTACAATATTCAGGCCTATGAGCCTTGCTATCTAAAAGGTGTTCACCTGGGAGCTAATTCCTGCAGAAAGGAGGGATTTCCTTCTTTCTGGGTCAGAGACAGAATCGAGGAGAGGTGTCCTCGTCTCTGGCTGCAGACTGGGCCTTATATTGACCTAAGCTTAAGTTGGAAGCAATCCCAGCCTAAATGTGATGAATGTTATTGGCATTTTTGTGTTCCCCACAGATGAATGGACTAACCTTTTAAAAGCACGGAAACCGTAAAAAAAAAAAAAAGATTTTTTGGGGGGTTTACTTAGTTAAAAATAATATTCAATTAATTGTGAGGTTAGTCTATCAATCACCCAGCCATAGGAAATATGACTGTGTTTGCTTAAATGTGAATGTGGATCCTCAAATGTTTGCAATGCAAGTTTGATCTGTTATAAGTATGTGCTTGCATTGTGCTGTGCTTCATGCTGCTTTGCCCAGCTATTTCGGTGGCCAGAGTGCTGCGCTCTCCAGTGGCTTGGCACTAGACTTGTCAACTTGTTGGTGCACAACATCCAACTTCTTTGAGTGGATACCTCCGGCAACTTTCCATATCTGCCGAAATAGTGGGACCATGCTTCTTAATTCTTAATCTCGCCAAGCATTTTAAGCTAATAGGAGCAACTCAAGCATGCTTTGCATGTCTGGCATTGCATGTACACAAAACACAGCACACAAGCTGTCTTTTTTTTCATCGAAATGCTATTTTGGCCGCAGCCAAGCCATGGTTTTGAGACGTAGCACTTCAGAAACTATTGTGAAGCACTACATGAAGTAGCCATTCTTCAACTTTGTCAAGGATAGTACAGCCACGAGAAAACAGTTTGCGTGTTTTGTATGCAAGGAGAAACGGAGAGAGGAGTACATGAGAGCGCACAGGGATGTCGGAGCACCGAGCTCTAATTTCGCTTTGATTAGAGGGAGACTCTGGAGACAAATGCAGCTAGCCCACTATTCCTTCCAGTCAGAGCTTGGCACTCTCTCCCCGCACGCTTGCAGTAAATCTGCAACTCACATATTTCTTAATGTTTGTTGTGATTTCCTTAGTTCTACATGTCCTCCATTGTTTCTAGTTCAGTGCATAGCCAGAAATTGTGTTGATGTGACGTATTCCTTACTAAAGTCAGCATGCTATATATGCAGCTTGCAATGGAAGGACTGGTCAAAGGTACTGCAGGATGCAGCGTTAGTAAAACTAAACAATCATATGTCTTCTTTATTATTCGCAGGGAAATCCCAGCTCTCCGAGCTCGATGTGACTCGAACGAGAAGAATCACCTCATTACGGATACATGTTGAGAGAGCGATTAATCGCATTAAAACGTACCGTATCTTCAAGTCAGCGTTAACCATAACGTCGAGGAGAACCATCAGTGATATGGTCTTCATCTGCGCAGGACTGTGCAATCTGAAGGCACCTCTGATTGCAACGCAAGAAACAGCGGCAAGTGCCAGCGTTGATGTGTAGACCTTGACTCTGTAGACACTGAATTCTCGAGCTTGTTTTCTACATGTTCCGTTCTAATGTATTGGGTCTGATCAAGAAAATGAAACCCGGTTTTTGGCGTGCATAGACAAATTATTTGTCGCCAAAAGATGAAACTGGGAATGTCAGGCTAGCAGTGGTGAGAGAATGTGAAAGTTCGACAACTTGAAGTTACCTTGATCATCCAAATACTCGGGGCAAACGAAAAAAAATGGTATTGTAGATGTATCTAATGCTCCGGTGGGAAAAATTTGTGAGTAAAAAATGCAGTATTGTTTTTTTTTCTTTTTTTTTTGAGACCATACTTCTAGCACAGAATGTGGTTTATGGGTTGTTTACAATAGGAAACTAGATATGAACAAGCGTCGTAACGACCGACATGTTCATTAAAGTTGTGTATAAAATCAACATAGCCCCAGCAGGGATAGAATCTAGGTCGACTGCAGCTGCTCTCAGTAGACAAATTCGGATAGCAAATTCTGTCATTGGCTATTGTTTGTTATTTGTTTTTAAAATAAACACCACAGGCATTTAGTGGCATTTGTTCTGTTCTACATGCATTACGCTGAGGTAGTCGTCTATTTATAGAGAAATTTCGTGTTTCCATTTTTCGATTCTGGTAACATATTCTCCAGCTTTTGCATTCTGCCACTACAGCTAGTGTCGCATTCTCATGCAGTTTCCAGTACCTATGCGGCTCAAGACAGGTTTTATTTCCTTGGACAGACTTGGTAGTGTGGTTTATGATCATTGCTCTATCCGTGTTTCCTTTGTGTGCCTCACATCGCTGATGTTGAGTACAATTTTTGTAGGTGTGTTTGTTTTGATCTCTTGTCTGCAGGATGGAAGTTTTTTGTTTATTTTCTTGCTCACTTAATTGGGGAGTGGAACAATTTTCAAACTTCAGAACAAAAACCTTTCATTGCTTAAGTGCACTAGATATTTTTTTAACAATAGTGGGTTTACACAATTGCACGACATACGTCACAGCAACAGGAGCTCAGCAATCACGTAATTCGCCAACACTGTGACATCATTGTCGTTTCTGCACTGCCTCCTGAGCACAGTTCTGAGAATTTTTACACCACTTCCGCTCTCAATTCCACTCCCGTGCCGTAACTAAAAGTCATTTTCTTTGGACCCGCTACAAACTTTCCAAGGTCTAGCCATACAACGTGCAAGTTCGTCTGCTCGGATGGTCGTGTGCATGCTCCGGAAAAAGTGGGGTTTCTGTTACATCCACCCTCAGAGTGAGAACGGTAAGGCATGTCTTTCAAATGCCTGGCCCTCAACTAGTGTTTGTGGTTTTGATCACGTGGTCGTTGCTTTTTGATGCATTCACTAGCTGTGCATTTGCTCGAGGCACTGTGAAGTTTTGAGCAGGATGTCAACGTTATTCCCCCAGCAGGATCTCGCTAAGAGCTGTTGCTGTAAAAATAATACAAATTGAAGTTCATGGTATCTTTCAACTGTTACACTGTCTACTGAGTCACTGTGTTCTCAAGCATGCTCGTGACCTTCCTTTTTTCATCGGTGGGAAGAGGACCTTTCGCCTCAGATAGGAACACGTTTCAAACGTTGGTTCGATCGCCTCGGAACATTATAGCCAGTCGGCATCGGTAATGGTCGTGGCAGGTAGCCAATCTTGGATGAGTGAAAAAACATAAGTATGGACATCCGTTTTTGCTCGCTTGTCATGAAAGCATCGGAAGGGGATAATTTGGTTGACTTCAGGTGAATGGCACGCTTACACACGCAACTTGCTCATTCACTGTGGCGTAGCTCGTGGTAACTTCGGGCCATTTTTCTCATGGCTGCCACATGCTGCTGCATGTTGGGAAATAATCTGGCTTTTGCTTCGCGAGAACATGCAAAATCACAATATTTTAGGGAAAGTCTGCATTTACTTTTACTTACGTTGATACAAACAAAATATAAGTGATATGCTGCATGTTTGTGTAGTAAATTGTTTCACCTCCCCTTTAGATTGAAAGTGTTAGTATTCTTATTTGATGCAAAGGATAAAACTTGGCTTATGGACTTAGTCTAGCAAAAAAGTAGGTTTTTCACATGCCTCGTTTTACTCATGCCAATTATTTCACGTCTTTCGTTGTGATATGTGTACTAGCGTAAACAAAAATAACATATTAATAAATAAAAGATCCTGCTTAGCCGAGGATAATCTTAAAATGTTAACCAGTTTAAAGAGATGCTGAACTGAAATCTGGATTCCACAAAACACGGCGGCAAAAGCGTGCAACGGGATGCTACAAACACCAAAACATCACTCGTACAGCGATATCTCGAAGGGATGACCGTATTTCTCAGGAAAAGGAGGCGCATTTGACAGATGTGCTTACGTCTCGTTTCTCCGAGGAGGAGAAGGAACAGCCTCACGTCTTCTCCGCCTCGCCGCCTTGAGGGGGCGAAGTGAGAAGAGGAGGAAACGAGACATCTTGACATCACGCGCATTGTCCAATCTCGACCTTTTTCCAAAAATGCGGCCGTCCATTCGGGATATCATTTTACGAGTAGTGTTGTAGGGATTGTAGTCTCCCGCCTACAGCTCCTGCAATGTTTTCTGATATCAAAATTTCGGTTCACCATCCCTTCAAGTGCAGTTTCAAGATTGGTTTGGGACCGGTGGTCCCCTCTTCAGCTTTGGCAACACATGCAATAGCCGAGGACGAGGACGCTGGTCTCGAAAGCCTTGTAAGCTGTCCTTGATGTGTTGTACATTTCAAGATTTTCTAAAGTTGGACAGTTTTTCTACTTGTTGGACACTTGCAAGTTACTGATTTCTGTTCTGTTTGACCGATTGTGGTATGTGTATATGAAATAATTCAAGGAATGTGAAAGACAAATGGCACAGTCTTCACACCTCGTCGAACCTTGAAAAACATGGCGAGCAGGCGACAGTCAACACTGGCTTGTTGTATGAAGCATTGTCACTGCTCCACCTGCTGCTTCATTTATTTCACCTTTTGTTCTTGTCACTTTTTGGAAAAAGTTTGATTACATGAGGGCCAGTCGCCTGTATTCAAGGCACATGTTCAGTTTGCCCCCCCTTTGCATCTTTTCAAGGTGCGGCAACATCGAAGAAAAATAAAACCGGCTCAGCCGAGGTGTGTTTTCAGCAATGAAGCTGCCATCGAAAGAAATCTCTAACAACACATCACTGTTCTTTGACCACACATACAAAAAACAGAGCTGCTTCCCTGTGCACAGCATTGTGTACTGTACTTGGCTATAAAAGCCGTTACTTCCAGTCTTTTTTAGTGTGTATGTGTCATCTTTTCTCTGGACATCATACCTCTTATTAGTGGCAATCATTGCCCTGCAGTCTTGCACCTCTGGACACTTTATCTCCAGAATGGCATTTTGACTTTCGATGATGCCATCAGGAGTAGCAGAGAGCCAGGGCTCCTCACTGCAAACTACAGTTCCACAGAGGGAAACTGTGAACCCTGTCTTTACAATGAACGCCTGCCGCACTACAGGTTCATACATGTGTCCATGCCTAGTGGCAACATTTCCATGGAATGAACTGCCTGTCAGGGTTAGAACGGCCTTCTCGTGAGATGTTTTTATCATCTTTGGTACGCACTTAACGTTGGATGCTGTGATGCGCAACTTCCGTGAATCTTTCCACAAGGCATTTGTAGTGCCCCGTGTTCCAGTTTCAAGTTGCACAGCTGCAGTACTAGTTAGTACAACAAAGTCACTATAAAATAAGTTGCATGCTGGGCACGATTCTGGAAGGGTCTCTGCCCTATCATGGTCTCGGTGGCTTGGGGCCTGGTCGGGCACCTTGGCAATTGGTTGAGCCTGGGGCTGCCTAGAGGCTGTGATGGTCTCATGCAAAAGCGTTCCTGCAATATAAACATAATTTATTAAAAACGAAACATACAACTTCATATCAATGAATTACATTAGAAAAGCAAGAACAAATGATAACAGGCATCCTTAGCTCGTTTGCAGCTTGTTTAGGTGATCTCTGCATTTAGAAATAGTACCTGATGTGTCAAGGACGGACAAAATGGTGTTGGAATTTATTTGATATCGCAGAATATTTTATTTTCAAGTGTTTTCTGCTGATACCAGAATGCTGGTAAATCAAAGTGGGTGGCAGACACAGCTGACTGGTCAGTGACTCACCAGTTGGAACAAGTTCTGTGGTTAAAAAAGGGGTCTGTAGAAGCTCAACATGGAAGAGTTATATATTTATTGAAACAGTAATGTACGCACTAAGTACACTTGTTAAGGTAGTGCAGATAGGCTGGATTGCTCAAGCTCTATGGTTTCCCTTGAGCTCTAATCTTGTTATTTATCTCGTGTAAAGCTTCACATCTGATCTTATTTTGTTAAATATTGCCGTCATCTTTTTAGGGGCATGGAACAATTGTTTTTGAGTAGTGTTGTTAGCAGAGCTTGCCCCAATTCAAACTTGCCAAATGGACCAGGGTACTGGACTTCCAAATGGTTAACAATTAGACAATTAATAAACGAATATGGCAGCTACTTTGACCCTACTGTTTCATGACAAAATGAATGCTCCACATGTTTGGGGTAGTTACCAGATGGAATGAACCTGCCATTTCCACTTAAAATTAACTTCACATAAGCTCACTACGCAGAGTTTTGACATAATAATTATAAGAATAGCTCATACTTGCCTGGTATGCAGAATAGGCTCTTGAACGGAGCTGCTGCATGAAACTGCTGGAGCTCCTGGTCGTCCCGAAGGGAATGGACCTGCTTCGGTTCCGTAACTTCAGTCCCTCTCCTTTCTACTGCCCTGGCAGTTCCTTTCTGGAGCCGGAAGCTGATGTTGTGCAGGGGTGCTGGCATAACATTCTTCTTGGTCCCCCGATTCCAGTTCATTGCGGCATCGGTGCATGCCTGCCCAGTAAAACCAGCACTTGCCGCACAGTCCACTTTCCACAAGACAGCCCCGACGTGGCTGCAAACTCTTGCCTTGC